TAGGAGGTACGCACTAAAAGGGAATAGAGAACGAAGCAGGTATCTGTATGGAGTATCTACTACTGTCTGTTTCATGATGTATCTTGTTTCTACAGAGTACAGTAAGTAGGCCACGGGCTAGGAGGCCGGAGCCTACCTAGGACAGCTTGGGCTAGGTGCATATCCGTACTCGGCCATTCCCGGGTGAGAGTGGACTCAGTGGGGAGGCCAAGGCAGCCCCAGTCTGAGTCCGTGCAGCCGAGATATGTGTTTGTTTCACTAATCAAGTTCGGAGAAATGAAATTGCAACGGGCTAGCGGCTGGCGATAATGGCATGCAGGCAAGCCAAAGTAGTAATGATCTGTGCCTCTATGCATCTTCGACCCTCTTGAGTTAAGGAGGTAAATCGGCTGCATGACTGGTAATATTGATGATTAGGTACAGTTGAAGATTGATTGCCATTTTGTTACTTGCAACTGCCTTAAGGAGTTTAAGAAAGCGTCAGTAAATATGTTGCAACAGAAGAAATATTCAAGCTGTCTTATTATGGGATGTTCAGAGGATCAGCATTCTGTAGGTTTAAAACTGTGCACATTCCATGACAGATATCAAGGTGTTCAAAGCTAATGTCGCCATGTGCCCATTTACTGAGGTGATTATTGTATTTTTGTGAACCCTCATGTTATCCTCAGCTCAACCAAAATCAAGTTACCGTCCATAACCTTACCCACATAGACCTGGAACCTATCTTGCTCAGATTGTAGATCCTCCCACTCAATACTACTCAAGGGTAGAATTGCATATGCGTGTGCCATCAATCTGTAGCTCTGTATTATCTGCCATGACTCTGGACTCACAAGGTACCAGAGGAGAAAAATAATTTGATTGTTAGTAAGGTAAGTATCCTTTTAGAGCCACTTGCAGAAAGTTGTATTACCATCTGCAGCCACACTGCTCTAAGGCTGATGGTCTGCTTATGGCCTAGTAACTTAGCAAGAACTTGTGAGTTGCAACTTGCGAGAAATCGCTTCGTAGATAAGTTTTATTATTTTTATTATTACCGCAATTTGATCGCCTAGGTGAGCTCGGGCCGCAGGTTCGTTGTCGCTAGTAACAATGTATCAGTCTTTCAGAGATTTACAACTTATTTGATTTGCTGGCAATTGGTCGAACCACCCGAGGCTAAGATATCTCCGCTTGGTTAGATAACCAACCTACGCAGTAGTAGGAATTAGGTGCAGTTTTAAATCCAGAGGATCAATGTGAGAATCATTTGCCTGTGAGTTTTCCTTTCATACAGGCAGGTGTTATGTGCCTTCACCAAGATAGCCTTGTGAAGATGGGTCCTACTATCTTCTTCCTTCTGAGACCTATATGCCAGACACCAGTGGTCTTTTACTCAATTTACGCTTTTCCATGTGGATTTCCTGGAGGCTCCTTTCTTCCTTGCTTTATGGATTATTCAAATATGCAGATGAATACAAATGCTTAAAAAGAGTGTTTAGTGCTGAATGAGTTAACTTAGTCTTTCCCATACAAACTAATTACTAAACATGGCGAATCTTCTTACTATTTCAAAATCAAGATTTTTCTTTGCTTCATTTTCAAGGATAGTATACAATAGTGTTACCAATGACTGTCAACGTCCATTCTACGAATGGGGCCATGCTAATGCTAAAGAATGTGTACTTGTGGACCTAGGTACAAAGCAGTCTGTACTCTGAAGATAGATATTGGAGGGCGCTGTTTCTAGGTCACGTGCTATCTGGAGTCACAAATAGGCGAGCCAAGATGAGTAAGAGGCTCCTCCTTGGAGGACCTGTTTTGCAAACTTCGAACTCCAAGTTCATTCCTAAGAAGAGCCTTTGGAACTTGAACGATCTCATGAACCAGCCTCTCTTGACTGTCAGCAATTCGGCCTCTGGGGAATACTAGTCTCGACGAGGTACGGGTAGTCGACTTCGTATTACTTGCAGCCTACGAGGCACGTTAGTCTACCTACTCCACCTGAGCTACTTAGTGTATGGTTGCCATCCAAATACAGTAAGGTTTTCATGGCCCACATTTTTATAGTATCTGACCGGCCGAAAGCAAGAGAGCAGCACAGGACCACACGGGCAAGTAATTCAGCGGCAGGTGGTGGCTGAAGAGCACAGGGCTAGAGATCACCGCTAGGAGTGATTCACCATTACTCCTCTCCTGAATGTTTCTATGCTGAGAGGCCTTGGCTCCATTCTGTGCAAATTCATGCTGGTGACATGAGCACTTTCTGGCTGAAAGGGGTGTCTGATAGTAAAGTTCACATTCCATTATAATATTTCCTAGTTAACTAAGAAACTCTTTATTTATAGGTGTCTCTCAAGACCTATGACTTAGTATGTCTCTAGGTACATACCTTTCACTCATTTTAAATCTTACTTTTTCACAATATTGATGTTATACATCATTAATGAAGAACATACCATTGGTAGTCTAGATTTCTTAATGATTAAAGTCCATTAGAGCCTCCCCAGCCTGTGTCACATTCATTCCTTATATTTAAGTAGCAACTGATACCTGTTGAACTCTTAATTTATATAGGATACATCTTCACCTCACGAGGCTCTTTCTCGGGATACTGATCCGATATGTGTGGGAATGCCTGGGCTCATATGGTGTAAGAAATACTCATACTTCAAATCTAGCTCTGCTCCTGGCATGCAGGTTGTCTGAATCTGATTCTTCGAGTTCACCGAATCGCAAACATTCCACCCTTGCGCCTCTGCCTATCTTGATGTCATTTCACCTTCATCATCCTATCATATTAAGCTCTAGATGAGTAAACTTTGAATATGTCCTCCATACATAAATAGAATGAGGTGTCGCAAGTCTTGGCCGAAACCCATCCACAGTTCCACACACCACAGTCGATGTCCATGTGCCATAGCTCGCCAAACAATGCTTCACTTGGCCAAACTTAACTATTCGAGTCATCTGAAACAGCTGAATAATAGAAGAATCAATCATTGATGTGGTTGAATTGCAGACAAGGTATTTTGAGAAGACAAGAATCATAATCATGGGGCGCAGACATATGATGTTACATGCAAAATTTTCAACTCCTAGTGCTTCTTAATTTGTTTCTATCCATATCTTCTCCCCTTATTACTTTAGTCTTATATCTATAAAACAATCAAAGAGGATACCTAGAAATTACACAGAGTACCTCTTTGACTTATGTGCAGCAAGCTCCACTACTTAAACTAGGGAATGTGCATTTAAATTAGCTTATAGTTCTCTGGATGATCATATAGATCTAGTTATAGTAGTATAGTGTTTTGTCTACAGAGTATTTCATTTTCACTTCATATCTTAGATTTACTCTGTGAATGTAGTAGTAAGTGTCTTGTATATATATATATATATATATATATATAGCCTTCATCTACAAGTTTTAATCATGTTAAATATAGCAGAGTTTCAAATAGACAGAATAATCAGTAAATGTTATTCTTTTAAGGTATAGTAGACCTTAGATGGAACAATGAGATGATGAGAATCAGAATCATAAAATGAAGAGCAATAAGAAGGGTTATGAATAAGACCTAAGAGTACGAACCAGCTGATAACCAATAGCTACCTATACTCAGGCCTTCTCCACTCTTCTTTCCACATACTAGTAGCACTAGTAGTGAGTTAGTTCGCCGGTCCATCGGCATCACTTGCTCATCAGGCTGCTCAATTGAACCATCAATATGCATAGATAATATGTGACTCGGTTGTGGATCAATATTATCAATTCCGTGCGCAGCTTTTGGCATGTACTTGCAGTTTTGAGAGAGACCAGAGATCCAGCAAAAGAGCTAAGTAAGGTAGCTAGGTATAATTGCTGATATAGAGACTCAGAGTAAGATCTCCCAAGCCCGTGCTGACTGCTGAGAGTAAAGTACTCCATACTCCGTACTTATCTCGGAAATGTCCTAGACCACCAACTTCTGTGCTAAATATCATAGCCCATGTCTATCACTATCACTTTCCTGAGTTCGCATCTCCTAACCTCTAGTTTCGAACACCGCTATCTATCCAATACAGGAACTACCAGGCTAATTAGTACCTAATACCTAGGTAAGTATAGTACACTAGGCATTGTAACTGGCCAGAGTGGTCTTATGATTTTCTTCGTTCCATTTGATTATTATTATTTGTATTTTTCCTTCTGACTACGACACCCACCCTCCACTACTACTAAAACACCTGCTCCATGTCACTGCATACACTACTAGCTGCATGGACCGCCGCCAATTCTTTCTCCACCCTCATTATCCTCCATCAGTCCATCAGTCCATCTAGATCCAGGGTCTCTGACGCACGAGGCAAAAATACAACCTGCATGACACTCGAAAAGACAAAGGACCTAGAGTCCACAAGTAATACATGCTTCTCATTCGCTGACACTGTTATTTTCTATTTCTGGTGTGGATTTTGTTCTAAAGAATGTAGTAACTGACTTTATAAGCTATTAACAAGATACTGGACTTCGAACATGTGTCTTCCCTGTCACGGACTTCTGCACAAATGATAATTGCCAATGTTGCATGTCTGTCACTTAGTTTTACCTGCTCGCAGAAGCCAATTAAGCCGGAAGATTTCTCCTTCCAGTCTCTGGCAGAGCATCTTTTCTCACGTAGACATTCTTTCTAACTCGCCTCTCTCGCTTTCTCTCTCCTTCAGTCTCTCACTCTTGTTCTTTTCTCTCACTCCTGCACAGGTAGGAAGGCGAGTCACATTCTTTTCCTCCCTGGTCTTCTCGCCTCATTCCGACCTCGTGCCTTCTCGGTGACAATTGTTCTGTAGGAGTGGTGGCAAAAAGGTCGTTACTTGCTATATCACCTTACTACAACATTCCTGTCAGCTTGGTCTACAGCTCGCAGCCACTTTTATGAGAGAGGAGAAGGGCTCTCTGAAAGGTAGAAATAGTAAGGGAATAGCAGGAGCAAGCTCAATTGATATCAAGGAAGACCTCGTTGGTTTTGTTGACAATCATGGCTTTCCCATTCATGCGAGCATTTATTGCTCTTTTGTAAGTAACCACATCAATCTTGCCCCTCAGTTTTGGAAAATCTGTCAAATTGGGAATCTAAATTTATTGACACTTCTCTTCTCACAGCCTTTACCGTTACTTTCGTCTGGTTGTGAATCTTGTCTCATTTTGGACTTTCAAGCCAATTCCCCCACCGGAAAATCCGAAATTGACAGCGCAAGATGTGACTGTTATCCTTCCAACATTGGAGGGTTGTGGCGACGAATTAGTCGAGACGATCAGAACGATCCTCGACAATCATCCATATGAACTTCTACTGGTGACTATTGAAGCAAATAGGAAGAAGGCTGAAAACATGCTGAGTCTAATGCCTGCTTCCAAATCGAGAATTCGTCTTTTCACCGTGACCCATCCCAACAAACGTCGCCAAATGACAAGAGCTATTCCAGAGGTTCGCACAGCCATCACTGTATTTGCTGATGACGACGTCAGCTGGCCACGTACAGTGCTTCCTTGGATCCTTGCCCCTTTCGAGAAAGATGAGAGATACGGGGGAGTTGTCACTTGTCAGCGATTGCGTCGTGCTGTTGCGCCCACTTTCTCTCAGCGTATCTGGGGCTTTTTGGGAGCTCTGTACTTGGAGCGTCGAAACTTTGATTGCGCAGCCACCACGCACGTGGATGGTGGATTGCCCTGCATGTCAGGTCGGACTGTTGCATACAAAACCCACATTCTTCAAGACGAAGGCTTCACATATGCTTTCACGAATGAGGAGTGGTGGTTTGGTAAATACCAATTAAATGCAGATGATGACAATTTCATCACGCGCTGGATGGTATCGCACGGCTGGGAGACATTCATGCAGTACCATCCTGAAGCAGAAGTCTTGACAACTTTGGAAGACAATCCAAAATTTTTGAAGCAGTGTGCGCGATGGTCAAGAAGCAACTGGAGAAGCAACCTTACCAGTATGTTCCATGAAAAACACATTTGGTAGTAAGTATTGCCTGGTCTTTTTACTCGTTCATTTTTCACTTCCCATCATTCCTCCCCTCGCCCCCGTTTCTGCCCTCCTTTGCTGCTACGTCTTTGGCCCGCAATCAGGTTTCAACACGCGTTTCTCCGTCAGAAATCAAGATCCGTACGAGAAAGGCCTGCTGCACTGGCTCAGGAATCTCAAAAGGGCTGGGTTTCTACTGGCAAGTCAACGCATTGGTATTGATTCCTTAGTGGATATGCATGACACTTCCGTATTTGGCAAAGTACATAACCTACACAAAAAAACCAAGCGCCTCGTTTGAAGCCGCACGCTAACATTGAGGGTCTGTGTCTCAAGTCGCCAACCTTGGAGTGCGTACGCTGTCCATCTGACAACGCTGTCCCCGCCAGCGCTTTTGGGTGACTTGCTCCTTCTTTTCCTGTGCCATAAAGCCACCATTTCATGGGAAGGAAACTCGCATGCTCTGGCTATGCAAGCCCTAGGAGTATGGATGTTTATGAGCAAATTCATCAAACTCTTAGGACATTACATCCGGTACCCGGTGGACATCTTGCTTCTGCCCGTCTCTATCCTTTTCGGTTATTTCCACGGAGGAATCAAGATGTATGCGGTGCTAACTCTCAATGTGGTAAGTTTCCCATTTTCAAAGCTTTGTTGGCTTGCCCCATCCACTGTTCACCCTCCATGCAGCGGTCTCGCCGGTCTCAAGCCTGCTGTGTCCAGATATCCAGATGCTACGCAATTTCTTTTTTTGATCATCCATCGACATAACTCCATTGTTCACGGTCCCTATCCACAAAACAATCATACTACACTTGTTTTGATGTTCTATCTCCCCCCCTTGGCCCGGCTTACAGGTGTTATTTGGTAGCCCTTTGTTTCCCCTCTCTGTATTTTGAGTTTGTTTCCTTTCTGAGAAAACGACCCCACAACGCTTCGAATATTCATTTTCTATTGGTGTTTACGACAAATTTCGCTAACATGAAGCCTGTGCTTCCTCCTTTCGCAGACCACATGGGGCAGCAGAGATGGTGCCGATGATTACGATGCAGAACGCATGAAGAGACGGACGGATATTGACCGTATGAAGCGGCCGTACTACCCCAACTTCATAACTCAATGATCGCGGTTTTTGCACCCTCTTGGTGCTCATTTCCTGCATTGGTCGGAAGTCTCTCCTAACTCCTCCGCCCTTGTTGCTTCAACATGGCTCGAGGTCCCAACCATAGGGCACTCAATATCTACTTCACCTCAACGCTATTTTAGCATAAGGAGGTAGTGCTTATCGGATGGACCAGAAAAGCTCTCGCTACGATAGGACTTTTGCTTCTTCTCATGCGATTATGCGAAAACGCTCCTTCCGAACCAGCTCTTTTCAACCGAGCATCTGCATCAGCGAAATCGGCACTGATAATATTTGAAATGCTCTCTCGTTGCCGTCCTCTTCTCATCTCATCCTTCCCCCTTCGTCTTGTCATGATGCCCAAGATCATTCTTACGATGGAATGTCTTAATGACACCGGGATTCCCATGATCAGGGTTCATCTGGTCACTTCTGTATTCGTGCAGAAGTTTCAAATTCATTACACAGAAGCTTTCAGGTGCCAGCATGGCGATGCTGGTCTCAATTTCCTGCCCAGGAACCTTTATACTTCCCTTGTCCCTTCCTACCTCTCTTGTGTCCCAACACTTGAGTGAGCCAATGGTGGGCGCAGTTTTTTTTGCCTATCACCTCTCAAAATATATCCCTCCATTCTCCGAGTACAAATTCGACCTTCTCAGTCGGGTCAACAGGACCGATCTTTACAGAAATAATTCTCTTGAACGCATACATTTGTTTGACTCACTTTGGCATCAAAACATGATATCCTTTCTTTTTCCGTGTAATTTATAGCAAAAGCATGGGCGGGCTTGTTCATTGCTTGTGTCACTCTACTTCTGACTGTCGCATGATTCTTGTGCTATCTCTGAACTGGGTACCTCAAAATTGCAACCGGGAGGCTCTGATATTTCTGTGATCTATGGTTGATTTGTCGTTTTTTCCCTCAAGACTCCTCAAAACTAGCGGCGGTCAAGTTAGTCATTTGTTCCATAATAATATTTATTGATCTGGTGCGATTACGGTTCGAACGACAACGTGTGTAGTTCCAGTGGCATTTGGCGACTCAAACTAAGATGGCAGCGGTCTTGCAGGTAACTGTAATTGTATGCCGAATGCGAAAGGAGAAAAGAGCTGGTCATTTCTCCATGCTAATATCCCAGGGTACATGCCATTACTGACATCTTGTAGTAACTTCAAAACTCCTCAAATGGCAGCATTCATCACTGATAGTATCTTGTGCATGTGTGTGAGATGCGTCAAGCCAGAGCAAGAAAGGGGTGAGTACGGAGAGAGGTTATGATGCCCATGGCATTTGGCGGTAGGTATCTATTGTATATGCCTTCAGCCTCCGAGTTGCGGAGAGCCGGAGAATGTGGCGTGCAGTCTGTGGCGATCTGAAATGACCCACCCATAATGATATCTGACAAGCATAAGGAAAAAGCAAAGATACGTCAAAAAAACCACTTACTGGCGCTCTATAGAGTACAAACAGGTAAGTTCATCTTTGAGACTAATCTTCTAGAAGTCGAAGACTTGTCTAGTACTGATTAACTGCAAGGACGTCTTCTAGAACAAAGATTTTTACGTGTTTATCGTTGGTGCATATCTCTCCACATCCGATTTTGCGCAAGCAACCCTCAAGCTGCCATGTCGACTCTCCCTCGAGCCACCTCCTCAATACTCTCCTGGCGGCTTATTTCGGCCGTCGGGCAGCGCAGAACTACGGTATCCTGTCGGAATTTTCATGCTATCTCGCAGAAAGCTGCAGTTGCCCATCCTATCACTGCCCATGGACCGCCCCCCAAAGCCCCTTCGCCAGCTCCAGAATTCAGTCGTCCGACCGAGGAAGAAAAAGGTATAAATGATGCAGGCCAGCCCCAAGCGCAAATGTCAAAGCCAACTTCGACTCTCAAGAGGCGGTTTTGGAAAAATGTCGATGTCAGGAAAAAACCAGGTACCTCACCCTCTCCTTGTGCGGATCGTTAACTTCTGCTCCGCCTCACATCAAGCTGACCTTCTCGTCTCTTCCTTCTTGTGTAGATGGGGAGTACCAGGTTTTGTTAGACACGCGGCCGATTCGGACACCCATGAAAGATATCCTATCTATTCCTTCGACGAAACCCCATCTTGCACATGCAATTGCTCTCGAGTGGGACGTCATGACGTCCGCGCAGCAGGCTTTGAAGAATCATCTTATTCCGTTGACCTCGTTGACTGCGCGAGCGGGGGATATCGCACAGGAAGATGCAAGGGGCGAGACTACGACAAGGGACCAGATTGTGAGGCTTGCCATGCGCTATCTGGAAACCGATACTTTGCTTTGCTGGGTGCCTGAGAGCAATTCATACGCTGGCGAGGAGTCTCAGGAAAATGGCGAGAGGACTGAAAGCCTTCGAGAAGCTCAAATGAGAGTGGCCAAGGATATTATCGCCTTTCTAGGCACAAAGGTGTGGCCTGGTGTCGACATTGTACCCATTCTTGACGCGGACAGCATTTTGCCGGTGTCTCAGCCCCAGGCTACGAAGGACATAATCAAACAATGGGTTTCATCGCTGCAATCGCACGATCTAGCTGCTTTGGAAAGAGGAATTGTTGCTAGCAAGAGCCTGTTGGTTGCTGTTCGACTGGTCGTCGAGTGGAGTGAGAATTTCCGTCACTTGCAAAGATCGGGACACAAGAAGTTCGGCATCGAAGAGGCAGCAGAAGCCTCCAGTCTGGAAGTGAAGTGGCAGACTGATATGTGGGGAGAAGTCGAGGATACTCATGATGTTGACAAGGAGGATCTCAGACGACAACTTGGAAGTGTTATCGTTGTGGTCAGCGGAGAGACCCGTGAATGAGCAAGCTTGCAGACTTTCGTATCGCATGACAGATATGAATGGCTGTCATATCTGTCTTGATCTGACATACTAGGTTAGCATGTATTCGTATATAAGCATACAAATAGTTAATCATTGTACAATACGATCGATCGTACATGCTCAGGTATCTGGCAGCTTCTCTCCATTTTTGCCTACGCCTCTTCCGTATTTTGTTTCTCTCTGTACGATACACCTCAAATCCAGGAGGCTATCTTTTCACCCTGAAAATAACCAATCCCTCTAGATCTGGAATTGGTAGTAAGCTGGAATGTCTTCGCTATGCATGGGAATTATTTTGCGCGATCAAAACCGCCAAGGCACGGGAACATCCCTCTTCCAGTTCAACCAAAGCACTCCTTATCGTTTCCCCACTCCCGTCGACCACATAGACACACACACACATATATATATCTACACTCGTGAGCTCATAAGATTGCTGAGTTCTGATTGATTCTTTATTTCCCACAAACCGTCTATGCCACTGCCTTGACTTCCTCTATCCATCTCGGAACTTCGCTTAGTGGCGAGGGAGAAATGACGGAAAAGGGCGAAGGGTGAGTTCCTCTTGGCTGATATCCTCGGTTCTCCGTGAATCGTTACCTGGAGCTGTGTCACCTTGTGTTCGATTGAGCTGGGTCCTTTTTACAGATATGTGGCTTCGGAGCTGTTCAGGGGATGTACCTGAGTGGATTGTCTTCGATTTCTTTTTCTCTCTTCTCGCCGCATTCAAGTGAGCTCGCGGCTTGGCCACTGTACTGATTCAACACGTCATTCTAGACACAAACGATCGAAGAGTGCGCTGGCGCTTGCAATCTTACATCGTGATAAATCAAAAGACATCAACGAAGATCTCGCCTATCGTGAAAGTGGTTCGCTTGAGTCTGGCGCGTCCTCTCCTGTTAACAGCACCTCCTCTTTCTCACTGCTGTCGCACAAGAATAGCAGCCGCCGAAAGTCGCCCCAAGAGGCAAACCCCCCTCCCATGAACTCAGAGACGACGCTTGAGCCAACCGGCTTCAATTACAGCACAGAAAACGTCGAGAAAATGCCGTCTCTAGCTCATTCAGGGATTGGAAGCATGACACTTGAACAATCCGTGCGCACCTTTCGATTATTCGAGATTCTGCGGAGCGGGGACACGAATGCGATATTGAAAGCGATTAAGGAGACCAGGGAGCCTCAAGGGGCATGCGCTTTGGCTGGCACAACGATCCTGCATTTGGCAATTCAATGTGCCGAGCCGCAGGTTGTCGAATTCGTTTTGTCTCTGGGAGATGATCTGGATATCAACGCCCGCGATCGAGATGGGAATACTCCACTTCATCTTGCGGCCCAGCTAGGAAGAGGGCCTCTAGTCCGCGAGTTGTTGAATCGTCCCTCAGTCAATGATTCAATTGTCAATTACCGTGGCCAGACTGCCCTTGATGTTGCGCGTAACCCCGAAATTTTCCAGCAGCTCCAGCTTGCTAGATCTCTATTTATTGACAGTAAGACACAAGAAATCCAGTCCCTTGTGTCTCAAGGCGATCACGAGAAGCTTGAGAAGGTATTGGAGGAGCCGCGCGTTGAGGGAATATTAGATGTGAACAGCCTGGACTTGGTCACCGACCCAACTACCGCACAATCTGGAGGCACCTTGCTGCATGAGGGCGCTAGAAAGAAAGATACGAGACTCATCCAAATTTTACTCATGCATGGAGCTGATCCTTTCCGGCGCGATAAGAAAGGTAAGCTGCCTCAAGATGTTACGAAGGACGATAAGACACGTGCCATTGTCAAAAAATCTCCTGCTGCAGTTATCGCACAGCGTGGCATTCAAGAGAAAGCCATCCTCGGCAGCAGCTCCGCTCAAGGTGTTTCTGGACGGTCAGGGGCAGGTGAGGCGCCGCTCGCGGGCAAAGATGCCCGTGAAATGAGAGGCTATCTGAAGAAATGGACGAATTATACCAGTGGATATAAGCTGCGATGGTTCGTGCTTGAAGATGGCGTCCTCAGTTACTACAAACATCAAGGTAAACCTATCTTTGGTGTCCCTCCTCTCTGAAGACCATGGAAAATTAACATTTTGTCCAGACGATGCGGGCTCTGCTTGTCGTGGCGCGATCAATATGAAGATCGCTAGACTCAGCATGGACGCGCAGGACAAGACGCGATTTGAAATACATGGAAAGTCGTCTGTCAAATATCATCTCAAGGCGAACCATGTCGTGGAGGCTAAGCGCTGGTTCTGGACTCTGAACAACGCCATACAATGGGCGAAAGATGAAGCAAAGGAGGAACAGAGACGCCAGACAAGACATGCTGAGGCACTTCGCCAGGCAAAGATGGACCAGATCGAAGGCCGGAGTCCAACAGACACTGCATCCGAATCCCCGAATTTGGCCGCCACCAAGTCGAATGGGAAAGGCCTAGCACCTCCGTCTCTAGCCGTGCCAAGTGGTAGCAGTCACAGACTCAGTACATATGCGTCTCGTACGACTCTTGACAGCGTACCTGCAGATGAGGAAGCCTCAATGTACGGTTCTTACGATCAGAGCGTTTTGCAGAACGAGGTCAATCGGGTGGTCAGTCATGTAACTAGTCATCCGGATGCCGAAGGTGACGAGGACGACTTCGGCGAGTACGCGTCTAGTCGTGACATCAGTCCTTCCGATAAAGATGCGCTGAACATCACGGCGCAATCGGCAAAACTTCAACTCGAGATTCTGGCCAATGTCGCCTCTGCGTTGCAAGCCGAGAAATCGAAGGATTCGAACGTGCCAATCTCGGACCCCACGGTTGGTCAAGCCCTTGTAGCTTATGAGGCGGCTGTAAGCAGCCTGCAAGGTCTAGTCCAAAACCTTCTCAAGATATCGCGGGATCGCGATTCTTATTGGCAATATCGACTCAACCGAGAGGCGTATCTTCGTAAAATGTGGGAGGAAAGCATGGCGCGCATTGCACAGGAGCATGAAGAGCTGCAATCGAAGATGGGGGAATCTGAAGAGAAGCGCAGACGTACTAAGCGAGCTCTTAAAGAAGCTCTGGAAAGCGTGTCCGCACACACCAGTCGTCTTGGCAGCAAGGATCCGTCTCGCATACAAGTCTCTGGGGAAGATAGCGGTGTTGGCCGAGATGAGGCGGAAGAACAAGTTGCAGAGCCCGTGGAGGACGTGACTCAATACGAGGAGAAAGAGTCTGGAAAGCCTTTACGTCGCAAGAGGTCGGCTCTCTCTCGCATCAGCAGTCTGTACGATTCTGAATCGGACGAAGATGATGAATTTTTTGATGCTATCGACGCTGGCGAGATAGAAGTGGAAGACATGACTACCTCGAAATTGATCGAGGAAGAGAAGGAAAAGCCAGAATTAGAAAGCACTGAACTTCGAGCTGTGAAACGCGCCGAGATAATCCCCTCTTTCAAGGGTTACGAAGAGCCTGTGCGAACAAGACTTAAGCTGGACAACGACAATAGGCCGAAAATCTCCTTGTGGGTAAGTGATCGCGGGTACCTGGTCAAGTTAGGATTGAAACATATCTAAGTTGATGCTTTAGGGAATCCTGAAATCTATGATTGGCAAGGACATGACAAAGATGACTTTACCAGTATCTTTCAATGAGCCAACATCATTGCTTCAACGAGTAGCGGAGGACTTAGAATATGCTGACCTTCTGGACATCGCGGCGGACCGATCCGACTCGATGGAGCGCTTAGTGTATGTTGCTGCATACGCAGCGAGTGAATATGCTTCAACGATTGGCCGTGTGGCGAAGCCTTTCAATCCTCTTCTTGGAGAAACCTTTGAATATGCTCGGCCCGACAAGGGATATCGGTTCTTCATTGAGCAGGTTAGCCACCACCCACCGATTGGCGCAGCGTGGGCCGAGTCACCGAAGTGGGATTATTGGGTAAGGATTGAATAGCTCTCCCTCTTGTGCCATTTCCCCCTTCATTCTAACTTCTTTCCACAGGGGGAGTCCGCTCTCAAATCAAAGTTCTACGGCAAATCATTCGATATCAACCTCCTTGGAACCTGGTTTCTGAAACTGCGTCCCGTGTCAGGCGGAGAGGAGCTCTACACATGGAAGAAAGTCACCTCGTCTGTCATTGGCATTATTACAGGCAACCCCACTGTTGACAACTACGGTCTGATGGAGATCAAAAACTGGACTACCGGCGAGGTTTGCTACCTGGATTTCAAACCGAGAGGCTGGAAGGCGTCTTCTGCTTACCAGGTGACTGGCAAAGTTGTTGATCGGGACGGATCACCGAGATGGAGTATTGGTGGGCGCTGGAATGATAAAATCTACGCGCGCCATACCCCTGGGTTCGAAGCGCAAGTGTCCGGTCAGGATCCCGAGTCAGCTAAGACCTTTCTGGTGTGGCAGAGCCATCCTCGGCCAAGTGGAATTCCTTTCAATCTGACACCCTTTGTCATTACACTGAATGCTCTTCCTGAGGGTTTGAGAGAGAATCTCCCGCCCACTGACACGCGACTCCGCCCTGATCAGCGTGCAATGGAAGACGGCGAGTACGAATTCGCTGCTAATGAAAAACATCGGGTTGAAGAAAAGCAACGGGCGAAGCGTCGCGAGAGGGAGGCTAGGGGCGAGGATTACCGCCCTCAGTGGTTCACCAGGGCTAAATGTCCGATCACTGGAGAGGAATACTGGGCGCACAATGGAAAGTATTGGGAATGTAGAGAAAGACATGACTGGAGTGCCAGTGAAGATATCTTCTGAAGCTTACTCATGGCTTGGGGAGGTGGGTGTCTTGGAGATCGCCCATGCTGTTGTAAATTGTAATAGATTCATTATGCTCAATCAAGAAGACGATAGTCCTGAAGTCACCAATGTCCTTATGGTCCTCTAGTCTTACTGGTGCAGCAGCATCTGGATTACGGATTCCTACCATGCACAATTCTAACATATTGGCTGAGGCAGTGTTTTGCGATAGTAGCGAACTAAATACGGCTATGAAGACATCTTGAGAATTTGTCTAGATCACGTGGTACAACGGCATTCTCGGCGGCCAGAAATAACAACTTCCAAGCAAGTGTACTCGACCGCCGTCCATTCAGCCCCGCGATAGTCAAAATGCCTGGCGAATATACTTGCGGACGCTGTTTGCAGGTCCTCCAGCGAAGAGTTTCTATCCGAGGTCCTACCTTTCGATTGCAAAATGTGGTTAATTCGCGGGGAACAGGCGACTCTTCCTCTTTCGCACGGAGGTTTGGTTCGCAGAGCAATAATTGCTTTCCACCCAAGTCTTCCCAGGGGCAATTGAAACGGACATCATGTCCATCCTCAGCGCCTTCATCTACTACCTCTCAAACTGCGAAGCCACTAGCGCACCGAGCCTCGTCCACCTCGTCGAGCCAAGCGCAGGAGACGAGAGCTTTGCTGAAACCAAACAACCTCTTTCACCCTTTCTCGAAGTCCCCCGCACCCGCGATTAGACAGCGTGCGGCGTTCATCAGAGAGAATGCTTTTTGTCCGCACCCGAGTCATCAACAAACCCGTGCAGCTCTCTCGCCTCACGATCCTGAATCTCGGAAGAGCCACGAAAGCGCACTGCCTCCGGCCCACTCTCACTTTGAATGCCCCGACTGTGGCGTTCCGATCTACTGTTCCGAGGGACACTGGATGGATGATTTTGAGGCGCATCTGGAGATCTGTGACACCATCAGACAAATTAACGAGGATGACCACGATCTTCATTCCGGGCGTTTTTTCCCCGAGTTCACCTACCCAGGGTTGCAGGACGACAACTTCGTCATTAACATGACCAATTGGGACACTTTCCTTTATACACGGGAATTTGATGCGATCAATCATGATCGAAGCATGCGACAAGTGACCAGGATGCTTACATACCCGCTGACGATCGGAAGTGTTCTGCATGAGCTGAGTCCTTACAGCGTTCGAAAGGGGGGTAGACTGACTACCGAAGGGCTCAAGAGCGTTAGCGGTAAGCTGCTCCTCTCTGTGCCCAGTTAGCTGCCTGTATATTGTACAAATGGTTGACTCCTTTCCTTCTCAGCTCTTCGATACACCTTGCACCCTCCAAAGACAGGAGAGGGCGTTGATATCCAAGGTCTGCGCCTGAAGGCACCCCCAGTTCGAGTCTTCATACTCGGTGCGCGTGCCGAATCATCCCTTCCTCGCGACGTCTGGCTGCAATTGAGCTACATCTTCCCGCGGTCCTTGATTCACTTGATTTTCATTGGACCTGAGAGTATGGCCAACCGTGACGCCGAGTTCCCACTTCCCGAGCGGACCCCTGAGAATCCGTTTGGGGGCATTGTGGAGGATCGACTTGGTGGCCAGTTGAAGATCACAACGTACGTCGACTACTTCCACACCATGTATAAAGCGCAATACTTCCAGCCGTTTGATCCCTATCTGGACTGCTTTGTACTTTTCCATCCGGGTCTTGGGCACCCTGCGAGCTCACATGAGTGGGAAGAAACTCTTCCACAACTTTTGGAGACCAAGGTCCCCATAATTACCACTGGATACACACAGTGGGACATGGAGAGGGATATCGACTGGGTCCGTGAGAAATGCGCCGGTGAGTTCGACATTCTGCTTGAGCCCGGCGAGAATATCTTCCGTAGTCTGCGCTGGGATCTGAACGACTTGGATCCTCACGATGTTTCTTGTGGAAATTGGGGTCTGTGGGCATTCAGAGGAAAGAGGTATGTGATGGCTGTTCGACTTCTCCAACGAAACACTGGCTAACCTCAGCCTGGTTTGAACAGATACGAGGCAACCTACAGGGACTCATAAGATGCTGTGAAGGTCTGCTGCGCTGATGTATATTCTTGTACATTATAAAATATTAATTTCCATTCCTCTCCTTCCTATAGTCGGCCTCCATTGTTCTTTCTGTATACTACAGCAAGAGTAGCCCGAGATTGATCCCCATACTTGGCTTCCTTTTTGGCATAGCATGGGGCGTATGTTTATGTATCTTGACTCAAAAGTTTTGCACTTTAGTCGGCTATGTCATAATAAGCACTGTATGGAGTACTTCAGTGCTTCAGAGACGATAGGAACAGGTGACGCGGTAGGATCATCAGTACCATCTATAATTACGAAGAAATCTAGTAGAATAGAAGTGAAGGGCACTGAATTCAAGAGGCCAGAGCTTCCTGAAGAGACAGATTAAGGGTATAGACAGACATGAAATAGATACATGAAATTGAAGTCAAGTGAACGCGAATGATGAATGACAGATCAGCCCGCCCAGATCATAAACTCTTAAACAATGCGTGCGTGGCGGACGGAGTCGAGTTCAGTAGAAACGCGTTAGAAGAAGTGTGCAAATGTATATATAACAAGATGGGCGACGAGGACCGTCTGACGAAGAAAGATAAATGTGAAAATATATGTCCGAGTTCCTCATTATTCCGAACATTGATGCTCGATCATGGCCGATCTCCCCCAAGCCCAAAGATGACGGAGATCGCTTCAATTGCAGCAATTGAAGCGCTCGAGGGGCTCATGGCATGGTCTCTTGATCAGATATCCGATAGACTCCAAATTTACCACTTAAAACATGGCAAATCCCGCGAGGGCCATGGCAACAGCAGTCAGAGCGCCGGAGAAGTTCATCGAGGAAGCGGCACCGACCTGGGATGGTGCCGACGAGATTGCGGAGGCAGCGGCGCTTGTCTGCGAGGGGGCACTGACAGTGGCAGGGACTGTCACCTTGACCATCGAAGAGCTGGTTGAGTTCCAGCGGCCGGGGCTGGGGATATAGATACCACCGGTGGGTCGAATCAAGGGGCTGCTGCTGCTGCTTGGAGTCACGCTGACGACGCTGCTGGTGGGGGATGGAGTGAAAGTGGAAGACGGTGTGGGAGTCGACGAAGAAGCGCCAACACTCATCATCTGGATGGTGATGGTGGTGGTTGGTTCAGCTTGCACTGCAGCGGATGCGAAGGGCGCGACAGCCGCAGCGGTAAACAGGAGAGCTTTGGTGAAATGCATATTGATCGTATAATTGATGAATAAGACTGAAGAGTTTAAGATATGCAGGGAGCAATTCAAAATCGATACTTGAAGAGGAAATAGCTTTGGGTGTGTGCTGGTTGATGTCGAGCGCTGGTATCTCGATTTTGGATAAGCGAGAAAGACTGCAAATTCGACCTTTTTACCTTCGTTTGTAAGAAGTAAAGAATGAATGGAGCTGGAAACGAGTGACAGCTCTGGTGTGTATAGAATGTAAAGAACGAACGACAACGCCTTGAGGCAGTCAAAGTATGTAGCAGTGAGTGGTAACCAAAGTGAAGAGGAGAAGAAGAAGACGATGATAATAAGGCGCGAAGAAAAGGGGGGTTGACCAGTACTCCGTACCTGGCACTAAATTGTTAGTTAGATTGTAGACATTCAGACTCTTAGAAGAAAAATCTCCCCGAGTCCTTGAACGACTAACCGATACCATAATCGATATATGGCCCGAACAATCAGCGAATCAGCCATGAAACCGGTCGCCGAAGGCGTATGCTTGGCTCGAAGTTGCTCGAGTCTAGCGCGACGGTTGTCAAGCCGTCCATGGTTGGGGGGGATGTTCGGGTTCGTCACAATAATTTTCGAACTGTCGATCCATTGGGAGCTCTCGCTTGGAGGTACGGGTAAAAGTACTAGATGATTATTCTCTAATCGCTGATGATTGTCAGTGCCAGTAGTTTGTAGACATTGAGAGAGATGCTAGGTACGCCTCTAACCCGCGAGCTTCGGAGCCATACTCTGCACTGCAGTTCGTAGTCATTGCAGTGCTAGCCGTGAGATAGCCCAGGATTCCATGAAAAATGCGTCGATCATGTTATCCGGAAGGGAGGCCAAGGCGATAGCGCAGTGTAGACTTTGCGCCGACCCAAAACAGACGAATGAGCCTGAAGAACGCGAATTGTGGCTGTCAGTGAGATCTCAAGAGGCCATTGACAATATTAGGGGTCGGACATGACACGATTATGGGAATGACAATTCCTGCTTGCGAAGAGGAGATAGTCCAAGGCTTGTCATTTTGCAGGAATTCCGCCAGTTGCGTCGCGCAGCAGCGGGGCGAAGATGGCGTGAGTACCATGGAGGTCATCTCGTGGGGAAGTGAGTCAGTGCCCAGTGCCCACTCACTCAGTGGCCTGAAGAACTTGAGTGAAGTCAGACTAGATACGGAATAGATCGGTCCTTCGTGGTGAACAGTCAGTTTCAGGGGGAAGTGGAGAATCTACAAAGTAGAAGTTCGGAGGAGACCAAGTGATAAACTGCAAAGGCTTCATATTTGGCGAATTCGCAAAAATGATTGATAGTTCGAACTATGGATCAGAGCTTGAATGCCCTGAAAAGATCTCAATCATCTATGGAAACTACCAACCTTGGAGCTCAAACCCTGGAGCGTGATTCAAGCGACTGATATTTCATATAACACGTATTAGGAGGGACGACTCATAGCGATCTATCGTACAATAAGGGTCTCGGAATAATAGAAGGAAGTGCTATCGTTAATCATGCGCTGCAAAAGTGAGTAAATAAGCATCAAGAATTTCACCGTCCAACGCCGAATAGGGGTATCAAGGCTCTCATGCCATTCAAGCAAAAGACCACCCATCAAAGCGAAATCGACAATATTCCCACAGCCAAGTTTCAGCAAAGGCTAACTAAGACAGTGAGCTCCTGGAACAAATTTGGCTGGAAGGAAATATAGCAAGAAGCAAAAAGGCAAAAATTCAGAAACAGTAAAACGGCAAGGAATATTATGATGAAGCATAGCGAGCAAGTGGCTCACCCAAAAGGCACCAAGGTATGAGCGACTCCATCGCGGGAACATCAAAGCGCCCAAACTGTGCTAGCCACCAGAGCGACCATCACCCAGTACCCGCTGGCCTCAAGGAGGGCTGTACCGGGAGCTGAGGAGGTGGACGAGCTCGTAGACGTCGTTCCATTCGGCAAAGTTCCGTTGATGTAGATGGTCTCGGTTCCGTTGGCATTGACAACCTTGGCGATACTGGAGTTCACAGGTTGAGTGCCATTGAATAGCGATTGATAGTACGTGCTGTTGTTGTTATCATCACAGCCGCAAGCCGAGTATTCTTGACACAAGCAGACTACCGGCAATGACTCGTTTTGGCGGGAAGTCTGATTGATATAGTCGTAATGATGAGTGTAGGGGTATGCATAGGCTCCGTAGAGCCAAATACCAGGGAAGATGGCCAGTGCAGCGACTGGCAAAAGGAAAGGAGTGATTCCCAGAGGGGATCGCCTGCCGGCGCTGTATGCGGATTTGGCACCACCAGCGTAGTAGGATCCGCCACCATACGAAGGCGCTACACGACTGCTACTGGAGGTGGAACCCGAGCGAGATGAGCCTCCTGAACTCCCAGAGGAACTTCGAGTAGAACAAATGTTAGCCTCGATTTTTATGAAGATAACAGGCAGCTTGACAACCGCTCACCTCGATGAACTACTGCTTCCGCCGCTTCCACTGCGTCCTCCACTGGATCCTCCGCTTCCGCCACCTCGTCCACCGCCGCCGCCTCCACGACGTTTCTCAAGGTCTGGTGCTTGGACTGAATCGACTGGGAGTGTATCACCAGCGACCAGATCCGACTGTGGGATACTGTAGGAGGTGACGCTGGTGGATGACAAGAGAAAAAGGAGAACCGTTGTGTAAGCGATCTTCATCTTGTTGTTTAGGCAAAGAATTGTTTTAGACGCTCAAATTGAGTTGCTGTAGTCACAATACGGAGGGTAAGATTGCCTAACACAGTATTAATGGAGGTAGAAATTGATAATGTCTAGAAGAATCAAAGCGACAAGAAGGAAAAGAAATGAGACGGTTCTTTCGCAAGGCAAGATGGTTGTGACAAGAAACCCATGATGTAACCTGCGACAGCGGATGGGTGCTTAATTATTAAGGATTTCTTGGATGTCTTGGTATCCCTTCATCATCTTCCAACTTGCCCAGAAAAGCGGCGATGCGGTTTTGTCCTTTTGATGATTTGATCACAAAGGGAAAGCCCGAGCCCCAAAGTCTATTAGTTCTCTCCTATTATTATTATTGACGACCATGGTTACATTCCGCGATGCCAAGGGCCTTCCAGCCGTACAGCTTCAATTTCCAGAAAGATAAAAGAACCATCATGTCATCGTTAGTCTTTCATCCATAAACTTCCTCGACTAAGAATCAGAGGTCGGATCCATCGAAAATTCAACTGATTATGGATGAAGTCACAGTTTGCCTCACCCACTCCACGTGCTGGACGACTGTTGGATGGAGACTCATAGGATCCCTTGACTACGAGGAGGCGCAGCAATTAGCCCTGCATGAGCCACCGGCCTCCTCCATAGTTTAAGCCATGTTGCTCACTGAAAACCTGCGATTGATAGAACCGATGGCTATTGGAGCGGATAATCAGCCCATTCGACGTGGGAATAATCAGGAGCAGGACCTGTCAGGCTTCCACAAGGCTTCTTCAATACGAACATAGACAGCGTTTGACAGCGTTTGATGATGGATCATTGGGAACAGCAGCGCTTGCAGGTCTTTTATGCATGTTCAACATGATAAACCTACATCCACATGCGACTACGGAATTAGAGCAATTGATTCGATGTCTGTCTGGAGTTTGGCCCTACTACCGTTGCTCGCCTCGCCTGAAGTGAGCTCTTGGCCTCTTTACCCAAGTCAGATATTCTGCAATAAGATCCAGAATCTTCGATTTTGCCCTGCGATTTTCACTCCTGCTTCGGTTTTGAGAGCGGACGGTAGACTGGATCCCACATTTGTACCCGAATCCACTCCTCCAGGTCGTCGTCTTCGGTGGGAATGCCATCTTCCTGGGCATGCCCTTCTTCCACTGCCGTCTTGATTACCGCCTTGGCAATATCGACACTGATTTCCCTGACCTCCTCCACATCGGGTAGAAGAGGCTTGTTGGGATCTTGAAGCGCAGGTGATCGAGCTGCTAGCGCTTTGACTGCTGCAACCAGCATCTTATCTGACAGGACGCGTGCCCGAGACAAGACAGCTCCAAGCCCAATTCCGGGGAAGCAGGTTGAATTATTGCATTCCGCTGTAGAGGTTTCCAGTGAGTCATGCCATATCCTCGAAACCTCTACACATAGATATTCTGTACTTACCAATCTCATACTTTGCCCCGTTGCGGTCAACAGGTGGGAACGGACTCCCAGTCGCTATCAAGGCTCGACCATCTGTCCACTCGTTGAGATCCTTGGGCTGTGCCTCATGCAGCCGAGTAGGGTTACTCAATGGAAATACAATTGGATTGTGGACATGCTTGGCCATTTCTCGGATTATCTCCTCCGTGAAGGCGTTTGGCTTTGTCGATGTTCCGATTAGCACATGGGGCTTGACTCTTTTCACTACAGATAGCAGATCTCTCTCTCCATCAGGCCATTCATCATCATTGCGCGCAAAAGGCTTTTGAGCCGGCGTCAATTGGTCACCTAAGGACTTCACTAGCAATCCTGGCTTGTCCAAACACCTGGAACAGGTTCAGCAAGTCGCAATTGGAAGGCGCAGCAGCAACTTTGGGTAAGGCTTACCAGATTTGCTTCGCCGCTTCGCCCTTTGATTTATGGGTCTCCGTCACTATTGTATCAGCAATTTGCTGTGCAATACCAGTTCCTGCAGAACCGGAGCCAAAGATGATGATGCGCACATCCTGCAATTTGACATCACTGACGTGCAAAGCGGCCATTAATGCTGCCAGAGTCACACACCCGGTTCCTTGGATGTCATCATTGAAGCAGGCCATGTGTGGTCGAAATTCATCGAGAAGTCTTTTGGCATTATGAAGGCCAAAGTCTTCACTGCGAAAGGATGTCAGTCGTTTTGCTTGCCGTTTCAAATTGCTCGCGGAAACGAGACTCAATTCACTTACAAATGAATGTATGCTTTGGGAAAAAGCTTTCTAGCAGTGTTGACGAATTTATTCACAAATTGATCATACTCCATTCCTCTAGCTCGGGGTTGTCGAAGGCCGAGGTAAAGCTCATCGTCAAGCAGGTTTTGATTCTGCAACCGGTGTTAGCACGCGACGCTCATGTTGAAGTTTCGGAGCCCTACATCGGTACCACAGTCCAGTACTACTGGAAGCTGCCGGCTTGGATGGATTCCCGCACAAAGAGTTGTGATTACCAACTTGGCGACGGATATCAGGATAGCACCAACCCCTTGGTCGCCAATTCCGAGGATCTGTGGTTGACCCTGTCAGACTCGTGCATGAAGTAGCAGTGAGAACGCAAAAAATCCATAGGTACCTCTTCGCCATCGCTGACGACGATGTAATCAATATCCTCACCGCGACCGAAATTGGACAGGCACTCTTCAATCGAGTCCTGGTCATTGATATTTAGGAAGCAGCCTTCCGGTCTCCTGAACAAACGTGAGTAGTTTTGAATGGCGTCACCTTCGGTTGGAGTGTAGATGATGCTGAACATCTCTTTCAGATGTGTTTGTAGCAACTGACAGAGAATTAGTCACCGAGGAAACTTTCGAGCCCAATGATCGACCCTGGACCTAGGAAGAAAGGTGTCTCGAATCTCTGTTTTCCTCTTCATATCACAAAAAAGTACTTACTTTGAAATACAAGACTTCATTTTGCGCCTTCATGCTCGCCATGAAGGTGTTCTTTGCTAGGTCATCCCCTCGGCTACTATACTGTTCATACGCACGGCGGACTTGTTCCTCCAGTGTCTGTGTATTCGGGGGCACTAAGCCGTGCAGCTTGAAATTCTTTCGCTCCTCTTCAGTAAAGGCAGAGCCCTTATTGAAGGTGGAATTATGTATGACACTCATCCCCTAAACAGGCTACATCAGTATGCCATCCCCTCATCACTCTGGATAATTGAGCTTTGGCTCTTCCTCACCTCATAAGGACATTCCAGCGGTCCCGAAGCTGCTCGAGGCAGATGACTGAACTTGGAAGGTTTTGTGGACGTCGACATTCTACGAGCAATTGATCGTATACGGGGACTATGTTTAGACAGAATAGGAGATTTCAGACGGAGGCTGATCATAGCCAGAAAGGATCGACGTAAGAAATTAGGAGTCGTCCAGGTCCAAAGTAAAGCTCACGGCGAAAATATTAGCAGAGAGTGTCGTCGCTAAATCAAATACTGTTTATAATGCTTGCGATAACTTTCTGGTGGGGTCACAAACTGGGATAATAGTGGCATGACGTATGGGGTGGATGTATTCAGGTATCGACGAGAATCATGCCATCCTACCTTACAGTTCAAACCTATGCCTTCAGTATCTAAATGGTCCAGCCATATATCCTCTATCGAAATTCGTCAAGTGCACCGAATCTGACAAGATCTATTGAAGCATCAAATCATAAGGCATGTTGTTACCATGCAGTGACGTCAAAGCATCAGTATCAAGTCAGCTGTGACTTGAAAGCCTTTTTCCAACAGTTGATTGAAAGTCCCCATTCTGACCCTAATATTTAAGAAGAAGATTTAGATGATATAATGAGATAAACTTCACCAAACATTCTGCCTATTTGACCATCGCTGCTCCTTATTATTAGTTGTTACTCCTAGAACATCATGCCGATGCTTATCTTATCTCTGACTATTATAGACCCGTGGTGATAAGATAGCAGGTCACACTTCTGACTAAGCTGACGCTAAGCGAGAAGCCAAACATCAACTGTCATCCGCAAGATTTTCCCTCTCTTTCGCAGAAAACTGCAGACTCGGTCAATTCGAATCTTCTACCAGAAGGAGAGACTGTTCAGCTCATGTTGCTGGAGATTATCTTGCCGAAGTTCATCGTTTCAATTACCGAGAATGAATCAGCAGTTGATTCCATCAACATGGTTCTAATATTCTGTCACTGCGGACCTGACGGAGGAAGAACAACTAAGTTTATCACACAGCAGCAGCCACGAAACATCATCATCTGATATTGTTTGATTTTTGGCGATCCGTGCGGCTCACAAGCCTACACAATTACGTACCGTCGCAACTTTACAATCCAGCTGTCCGAGTCTCCCTTCTCTATCCATCCGCGAGGACCAGGATGGGGCGTTAGACGTGCTCTCACGGACCCTTCTTGTCGAAGGACAGTCACCACACGTCACGTCTTGTGACTGTGACCGACTGGAGCTGGTTTGTAAGAGCTCGTTTCGAGTTATCTCCCATGATTTGGAAGTTGCCAGAGGAAGTTACAGGGCCTTCATAGTTCATGTTTGCTCGCGTTTTTCTACATTCTACGAGAGCATGACTCCTTGCGCACCTACATCCACAATTCCCGAGGATAGACGTATCAGTCTTGATAGAGCTATAATAAAATACGGGCAGACATGTCGTATATGTCTAGTGTCTCTTTCGGCTTGGTGCAAGTAAATAAAAAAAAAAAATAAACAGCGGTATATGTTACAGCTTGCTCTTCGCCTCATCATCAATGACCTTCACCACCACTTTACCCCAGGTTTCTCTGCCTCCAAGAGCCTGCAGGGCTTTGGGTACACTTTCCAAACCCACAAAGCTTTCATCTGTGAAGGCTGTCCCTCTGAATTTGCCCTGAGCCACCAGATCAAAGATCCCCTTCCAGACGACGCCTACCGTCTCCTTCTCAAAGTTGACGTACTGGCCCCAGTGCAATCCGACGAGACTCACGTTCTTCAGCAGCACCCGGTTCAGCGCGACCT